TGGGGTGCCTGGGTGGCTCAGTTGATTAAGTGACTGACTCAATTTTGACTCAGGTTATAAACTCATGGGTGGGTTTGAGCCCTGCATCTGGCTTTGTGCTGACAGGGCGGGAGCCTGCTTGGGATTCTCTCTCTCTTGCCCCTCTCTCTGCTCATGATCTGTTCTAAAATAAATAAATAAGTAAACAAATAAACATTAAAAAACCACAGCATATTCAAAATAAAATATAAAAATATTTCCAAAGCTTTAAAAGTGTCTTTATTAATTAATTATTTTTAAGTCAAAAGAAATATAAACCCATAACAAACTTTGGAAAATACTGAAAACTGTAACATAAAAGAACATTTATTTACCATTTTTTTGAATTTTATTTTATTCAACATTTTATTATAATCTGAGTTACTATTTCATTTCAATAAAGATGTTAGACTTCATTACAGGATTGGCTTTTTCATACAGAATTTTAATAAATTATAAAATGTTATTTCATGATTATTAGTTGGTAGCTAATATTTATTGGTAGATACTTTGAACTTTTGTATATGCCTTTTTAAATTTTAACTGTAGTGTTATGTGATTGCATTATGATTTGTTTTCTTTATCATTTTTAAAATTTTATTTTTAAAGGTTTGTTTATTTTGAAACAGAAAGAGAGAGTGCGAGCAAGGGAGGGGCAGGGAGAGGGAGAAAGAGAATCCCAGGCAGACTCCTTAATATCAGCATAGAGCCTGACACAGGGCTCAATCTCACAAATCATAAGATCATGACCTGAGCCAAAATCAAGAGTCGGGCACTTAACGACTGAGCCATCCAAGCACCCTCCTTTTTTTTTTTTTAATTAATTAATTTATTTTGAGAGAGAGAGAGAGAGAGAGACAAACACACACACACACACACACACACACACACACACACACACAGAGGCATTATGATTTCTTAACCAGAATTCAGACTCTCTACTAAAAACTTTTATTGCACTATAATTATACGATGGAAAAATAGATCTTAAATATGCAATTCCATAATTTTCACAAAATGAATTAAACAGTTCCCTAGAAGACCCTCTTTTGTCTCCTGTAGTACTATACACCAGCTTCTAACATCTTGATTAGTTTTACATGTTTTTAAAATAAGAGCTTTATTGAGATAATATTCACAGGCCATAAAGTTCACTATTTTTGAAGTGTATAATTCAGTAGTTTTTAATATATTCACAGAGTTGTGCATGTATCACCACTCTTTCGGAACACTTTCATCTCCCCCAGAAGAAATCCCATTACCATCATCACTCATTCCCCCACTCTTTCCAGTCTTTGGCAACCTCTGATCTCCTTACTGTCTCTGTGGATTTGCTGTACTGGACATTTTATAAAAATGGAATTACATATACAACATGGCCTTTTCTATTTGGCTTTTTCACTTAGCATAATATTTTTAAGATTCATTTATATTGTAGCATGTATCAGAACTTCTCTCTTTACGGCCAAATAATATTCTGTTTTATCAATATGCTACATTTATGATTTTATCGACTTTTTGATTTGAATTTTTTCTGCTTTTTGTATGTTATGAATAATGCTGCTATGAACATTTGTATACAAATATTTTTGTGGATGTATGTTGCTCTGTGTTTCTGTTCTTACACCAGTACCACAGTGTCTTGATTACTTTTAGTGTCAGTTTTGAAATCAGGAAATATGAGTCCTTCAATTTTTCATTTCTGTTTTTAAGAATGTTTTGACTACCCTTGTCCCTTTTGTTATCATACGAATTTGAAGATCAGCTTGTCAAAATTGGCGAAAAAAAAGGTCAGCTGTTATTTTGACAGGAATTGCATAGAATCTTTAGATCAACTTAGGGAGTAGTACCATCTTAACACTATTAAGTCTTCTAATCCATGAACATGGGATGTCTTTCTATTTATTTTTGTCTTCTTTAATTTTTATCTTGAGGTGTGCTTTCCAGTGCACAAATCTTATGCTACTTTTGTTAAATTTATTCAGGAATATTTTTATTTTTTGCTATGTAAATGGATGGTTTTCTTTTTTTCATTTTTGGATTATTCACTGTAGCTTTGCCTATTTTTTAATTTTTAAATTTCTTTAAAATTTTGTTTATTTTTGAGAGACAGAGCATGAATGGGGGAGGGGCAGAGAGGGAGACACAGAATCTGAAGCAGGCTCCAGGCTCCAACCTGTCAGCACAGAGCCCAATGTGGGGCTTGAACTCACGATCCACAAGATCATGACCTGAGCCAAAATCAGATGCTTAACTGACTGAGCCACCCAGGCACCTGTAGGTTAATTATTTTTGAACTTTACATAAGTGAAATAATTTTGCTATTTGTTCTTTTGTGTGTCACATCTTTGCTCAATATTGTATCTACGAAATGTATCCATGTCACTGCATGTAGCTATAGTTCATTCTTTTTTAAAAAAATTTTTAAAACCTTTATTTATTTTTGAGAGGGGGAGAGAGGAAGAGAGAGAGGGAGACACAGAATCTGAAGCAGGCTCCAGGCTCTGAGCTCTCAGCACAGAGCCCAACGTGCAGCTTGAACTCAAGAACTCTGAGATCATGACTTGAGCCTAAATCAGAGGTTTAACTGACCAAGTCACCCGCGTGCCCCATGTAGTTTGTTCATTCTTATTGCTGTGTAGTTTTCCATTGTATATAATGGCCTATTTATATATTCTACCTTGATGGACATTTGACTTGTTTCTGGCTTTGGGCTATCTTGAATAATGGTGCTATTAACATTTTTGTACATGGATTTAGGTGAACCTATTATAAATTTGTTCTGGGTGTATTCTTAGGCATGATTTCAGCTTATGAAAGTACTTCAAAAAGCTTTACAAAGTGATTGTAACAATTTAGTTCCATCAGCAGTGCTTCAGTTGCTTTTTATACTGAAAAAGTGCTCTATAAAATCTACGTTGTAGGCATTTTCACAGTGTGTAATGGTATTTGCATCTTTCTCACGAGTAGTAATATTCAGCATATTGTTTTTTTAATTAGCAGTTTTGGATATTCTCTTTTATACAGTGTTTGTATAAGTTTTTTGCTTATTTTCATTGAGCTTTTTGTCCTTTTTATATTTATCTGTAGGAGTTTTTTATTTATTATAGGTGTAAGTAATTAAAATAATGTGAAACTGGCACAAGTATAGGAAATTGAGTAGTGGGTCATAATGGACTCCAGAAACAGACCAAATATATACTGTGATTTACTTTATGGAAAAGATTAACTATAGTGGGGAAATGATGGTCCTTTCAATAATTACTATTGATTTAATTAATTACTTATATCATGTGATTTCCTATCTCACATCTTATGCAAATGTCAGTCCCAAAAGATTGAACATCTAAATGTGCAATGCAGAATAATAAAGTTTACTGAAAAAATATAGGAATATATATTCATCACTTTGAGGAAGCCAAAGATTTCTGAAAGAGGACACAAAAGGCAATAACTATTAACCATAAAAAATAATAAATTGGGCCTCATTACAAATAAGAAATTTTCTTCATGAAAAGACACTACTAAAAAATGAAAAGACAAGACATAGAGCAGGAGATGATATTTGCAATTTATCCAAAAAAGGACTGTTATTCAGAATTCAAATTGTTTTAGATATATTTCATAATTTTCAAGATTTTCACTATAAAAGCGTATAACTAACTATCTGTTAAAAGGATCTTTGCCCTAATTTTGCTGATTAAAAAAAATCAAGGTAGAAATAGTGTATATATATATATATATATATATATATATATATATATATATGTATAGTATATACAGTATATATGTATTAGGTATATATGTATATGTATTGTGTGTATATATATACACAGTACATATGTATACATAATTTTCAGGATTTTCACTATAAAAGCATATAACTATCTGTTAAAATGATCTTTGCCCTAATTTTGCTGACTTAAATCAAGGTAAAAATAGTATATATATGTGTGTATATATATGCATATATACACATATATATGCATATATACACACATATATATCAATAGTTTTTAAGTTAATTCTTACACATTGAAAAGTATTAATCTAAATTCTGTAATTTTCTAAAATCCAGCATATGTATGTATAATTTAAAATGGAAAGAACACATTGTTATTTAGTTTTCGTTTGTTATTTTAGCTAAAATGCTAAATCTAATTATTTTATTACCTAACTTATATATAAAATCTGATATGCCAAAAGATTCATGGATATGTTTTTAGTCAAAAATTTAATTCTATACTGCATAAATCTTTTCAAAACTTATTAGTCTCAGGTAAGATTAAGTTAATTTTACATTTAAAAATATATTCAGAATTATAATTAAAAAAATAAAAACTTAGAAAAAGCAATTCAGTAATGCTAAGAACATGATATAATGTCACTTAATTTTAAGAATTGGACTTATTTATTTTAAACATATCTATATGTATACATCTATTTATAAATATATACACAATTGTTATTTAAAGATCTTATTCTAAAATTTTGTTTCCAAAATGTTGGAAGTTGTATAATTATCTTATGCTGGGCTGTATCTTTCCATGTAAATAATTGTTAATATTTTTAGAACTAGATATTTATCCTATACAGTTTATTATAATTTCAAACTTACTTTTACTGACTTTCTCTTTTGAATTCAAATTGGTTTTGATATATTTGAGATTATTTTAGTGAAGTAATTTTCAAACCTTAAAGCTCTAAAAGTTGTGCTATGTTTATATAAAATTGATTTAGTCTGTTTACTCCATTTTGAAAAATTGGTAAAAAGACTTCTGTGATAGCTGTATCATGACATTTTTATTTTGTTACTGTTGAATTCACACTGTCAATTTTAATGAATCCTACCCAGTTAAAGTTGTGTGCATATTTTTCATGAGTCCATAATCAATATAATCAATTATATTTTTACATAATTGCATAGATACAATTTTATCTCAGGATGTTGGAGGATTAATACATTTTTTAAAATGTTGCAGAAATGCGAGAAGCTGGAGAATAATTTTGATGACATCAAGCACACGACTCTTGGTGAGCGAGGAGCTCTCCGAGAAGCAATGAGGTAAGTCTGGGTCACCATAGCAACAGTCACAGATGTGGTAAAGAAAAAGTCATTCTTCATTATTGGGGGAACAAATGAGTTCATTGCCACCATTCAGCTCTGTTCTCTAAGGTATTAATTTGTCAGTGGAGAGACTTCCCTTGAGGCTGTACTTTGGTTTTGAAGCTGCATAAATGTTAAGCCTCAGTGCACAGTAAAAAATGTAAATGTTTAATTTGTTACTTAAAATGCTTAAGGGGTGTCTTGTTTTATATTTATACTAAACTGTGTGATTGAATGGAAATATTGTTCATCTAAATTCTGCCTGAATATAAAAAATAAACAGAACAATGGTGGTTAAACTGAGTAGTATTTTCTCCTAATTAATATTTAATTTAAAAAGAGGTACTTAAAATTTCATATTCTATTAGATTTTATAGGATTATATCATAGTATTTTTAAACTGATTTACACACTATTTTAAAGCATATAGATTCACTTTTTTTCAAATACAGTAGTCTATAATGAGCCTGATTTTTGTTTTTGTTTTTTGTTTTTTGTTTTTTTTTTTTTTGCTTTTTTCACTTTTGACATTTCTGTTTCTAAATATTTCTCTGAAATCTCCGCCAGACTTGATACCTTTTTAATAACTTTTAAGAATCAGTCTTTAAATCCGTATTTTAGTAGACATTAAGAATGTGTAAGGAATAAAACTCATCATCCTTAGGGCTAGAAAACAATAAATGAAATTAATTTTAAAAGTTCTGAGCTTCATCTCCCCACTTGAGTTGGATAATTTCCAATATATTCGTACAGAAGTAGTATATTTACCTTTATTTAGCCTATGAAACTACAATTGATTTTTAAAATGCAGTTCTCATTTTTTTTTTCAGGATCGTAAGGCTAAAAATAATTTAAAATAAGAGAAAGGATAAACCTATGAGGCTTTCTAGAAGGGAACGTGGGTACAATTTTGTTATTGCTAGCACACAGTTACCATATACTTTAGTTTAGAAGCTGCTCTCATTTAGTAACCTTCCTTTTACCATGCAAGCAGCAGGGGAAAGTAATTAAATTTAATAGAAGCTGCCCTCATTTTGAAGCCACTTCTATTTAAAACCACAGGGGGAGGTAATTAAATTTAATGGAAACAGTAGCTTCTACACAAAGATACATGGTACTTCTGTATAGATGATTATGATGTCACAAAAAGAGGAATAATATATTACTAGTACTGAGAAATTACCAGCTGGAGCAAGTGAGCCTATTTTATTGTTAATGTCTTCACTAATAAAAAAAAAAGAGGGAAAAATAGAACTGAATATACAATAGAGAATTTGCACCTATAAAATGCAATCAGACATTCACAGAAAGTTAGTTTTTGAAAAATAGTAATAAATTAAAAAGAAGGTATAAAACATATTGTGGAAAAAGCCAATGCAGAAATTATGAATGAACTCCTATTTTCAATACAGTCTTTATCTTGTGTCTAAAACTACCACATTTATAAGTTGAAGGCATTGTTTTTGCACATGCTAATGATAATAAATTTGAATATATTAAGTGTGTACACCAATATGTATTTAGAAAGCTACAGTTATTCTCTGTATTTTTATATCTACTCAGTTTGAAGTAAACACATAGACACATAGGAAGACAAAGAGAATGCCAGCTCTGAAGCTTTGAATAAAAGAACTGAAGGCCTAAAACATAGAAAGAATTACAAAGGGGCAATGTGAATGAAAATGGATGTGACTGAGGGAAATATAATGAACAAGGAAAGGACATGTAATTAGTATAGAAAATTTGTCATCAAGGAAAATCAAACTGAATTATGGGAGAACTGTGTATGAAGAGATTATTCTGCCAAATTTTGTAATACTTACTTTTTAGAAAATACTAGGATATTCTGCTTTTAAAAAAGTAGAGATGAACTAATAAGAAAAACAAGTATTACCTGGTTAGAATAACCTCTCAATCACTCATGCTATCAGATAAAGCAGTATTCTAGATAATTTAAATCAGCTTTTAATTATATGGCTGTTTAATGTACTTTGTTTACATAAGCTGCATATTTTACACATGCACATGCACACACATATTCATAATGTTTGGATTCACTAAACACAATTAAATAATTTAGTAACCAAAGCATTCAGCAATTTAGTACACTGTGGGCCCACCATTTTTGTGTTTGCTGTTGTTTTTTGCCTTTAGGATGTAGCAGTAGCTCATTCTTTTATATGTGAGATTATAGAAGCATGGGAAAAAAGTTGTGATGCTATGTTACTAAGAATAAGAGGAGAAACATGGAGGGGCAAAAATTAATTGTTCTTTAATCTGTGATCAATGTTTGCCTTACATGAAGGGTGTCTGGATCAAAAGAAACTATGGGAGGGTAAGATATTTGAGTTAGTCCTTGAAAGAGGGCCAGTTTTGCAGGTAGAGGGAATAGAATTGAGCAAAGTCATGGAGGCCTGCAGGTGCAAGAGGTATTTCAGGAACAGTAAGTAGTCTGATGTAAAGCAAATTTTTTCAAGCTTTTTTTGAATATGTTTTCCCACAAAACTCACATAGGCAGAATTTTTGAGTCAGTAACATCTCTCCTTCCATGTCAAGAATCCTTGGGTGGAAATGAAGGAGTATGAAGTTGGCAAGGATGATGTAAGCATTTCAGAATCTCAGAGTGTGAGAAGGGGCAGTGGGAGACAGGTATGAATAATTTGCTGAAAACTTTGGTGACCATAGGGACTGGCCTTAAGAGGCTGGCTGGAAATGTGTTTGTTACCATATTCTGGAGGCTAGTTAGATAGAGTCTAGCTTGCCATGATAAAGAGTGTAAATTATTTCAGGAAGTCATTATTTTTAAGGAAGGGGTGATAGGATTAAATGTAAAAATTAGAATTTTGTAGAATTGTTAGAGGGGAAGAAGATACAATATAGGGATAGATGCAGTATTCCATGGTAGCTTTTCTCTTGGTCCTTGGACATGGCCTAGCTCAGCTGTGGGAACATTCTTTTCTCTCAGTGGCTTAACCTCCACAGCAGTCCTCAGGTGACCCTGGACACCCGCAGTGGTGCTCTCATTCTGAGCGTGTCTAGCCTGGAGAAGCTGGAGCAGAAATGGATGGAATCTGAAGATTGACATTTTGTGAGTGCTGTGTTTGGGCGCTGTCACCAAGTTGGATATACCTCCAACTTGGTTTATTAAAGTTCTTAGAATAGGAAAGAGGATTCTGTCCTTGCTCAATTCTCTGTCATCTCATCCAATCCCTCTTCATGGCTGGTCTTTGCCATGTAGTCTTGAACACATTCTTTTGTCATGTGTTCCCAGCTCATAAATCATTTTAGACCCCTCCCATACATTCTTCCTACCCCAGATGTGAGGACCTGTAGCCAGCTATGTTAAAAACACAAGGAGCTACGAACTAATCTGGGATGTACAGGCTAAGTAAATCAGGTATTTGATCAGGTTTTAGCTAATACCGAGAAAGGGGAAAAAATGATTTAAAATTTTGTTTTGGCAGAAAATAGAGGGGGCAGTTGAGGGGATGAGAGAGCTAGAGAAATCAGTGACATCACTAAGATAAAGGCCCAACAGAGGGGAGTGTGTTTGGGAAATATGAAAGTATTTAAAATGTAGATCTGATAAGACTTTGTGGCTTAGCCTCAATAAATCATAACCTTGATTTAATCTGTGCTGCTCTGTTTTAAATTATTCTTATCCTTTTTGAATAAATTATAATTTATTTGTGTGTCCTACTAGATAGTAACTTCCATGAAACTAGGATTGCTCTTTTGCCTTCTTGTGTATTCTTAGTCTTACCATAGTATTATCATATAGTAGGTACTCAATAATTATCTGTTGAATTGTTGGTGAAGATAAAAGTAATAAGGAGGTTTATTAAAGTTAAGTCAAATGTTTTTATTTTGAATATTTGGATATATATTAATTGGGATAGGGAGAGAAAAAAAGGGTTAAGGAAGAATATTTTCGTTTTCAGATTAATTTGAGATAGCTGTGGCAAACTCGTATAAATTTGCAATAAGCAGAAGGAAAATATAATTCTACAACTCAGGAAAATACTGGGGGTTGATGTGCACATTTGGACTCGTTAAGTATTTTGATACTTGTAGCCATTGGAAAGGATGTGATTTCTAAGAATAGCGCATCAAATCAGAAAGGAGGAGAGTCTAACCAGATGCCTAAGAAAAAATATTGGGCTTAGGAAAATGTGTGTCACAAAGAAACATATTTTGAGATTTAAAAATTATAAATAACTTTCTCCAGCAGAGTAAGTTGGAACTGTAAAGTGGTGTGCCTGAGAAGAGAATGGTGGGCGGCATTCCTGGCCAGTGTTCTGTGGCTCCAGGAGATATCTAGAGAAGTGCTGCCCAGTAGAACTTTCTGTGAACTGCAGTAAAACTCTCTAGTAGAAATGTTCTATGTTTGTGTTGTTTAGTATGATTGCCAGTGGCCACATGTGGATACTAAGCACCTGAATTATGGCTCTTGTAACTGAAGAGCTGAATATTTAATTGTATTTAACTTTCATTAATCTAAATGTAAATGGTTGTATGTAGTTACAGGCTATTCTTTGGGCAGCATCACCCTACAGGTATATGTTTGAGTTGCTAACGTGACATTTGTCTGTCTCTCATGAATGGAATTTTCATCAAATGGAGTGGCTAGGGTAAAGCTAAACCAGGTTCACACACATCACATATACATCACATGCTCCTCTCTCAAAAAATGAAGAGTAAAAGTTAGTTTCATAACAGTAATGGATGTAAAACCAAAATGAACAAATATGACTTGATATGGAGGAGGTAAATGACTATTACTGTCTAAAGGCATGACTTATACGTAAAAAGCTCAAGAGAATTAACAAAACCATGCTAGGAATTAATAAAATAATTTAGTAATGTGGTCAGATTTAAGATAAAAATTGAAATTTATTAACATTTCTATGTATTACCCATAACTAATTAGTGGTTGTATTGATAGTAGATCCTATGAC